GTTTTAATAGTTCTTTCATGTCAGCTACTACTGGCCATGTTTTATGCATTCTGGAAACGAAGACAAATTAATGCAATGACTCTGATGCACAGGAAGACGCCGACAGAGGAAACAGCTAATCAATCATGTGAGTTAATGTTTGCCATGGCGGAACTTACTTGGCAAAGGCATTTCCATCGTCCATTTAGCGCAGCAACTCTTTTTGACAAAGGCCAAAAACCATCTCAAGCAAACGTTTTTGCACAATTGAGGAAGTTTTATTGACTTTTGCCCTTTAAATACAGCTTTTCTATCGAGATACTTAAGTCTTGAAAAAAAGTTCCCACACTGCTCTTGCCCAGCATCACATTTTATTGGTTATACTAACATTTCTATAACTCTGGACCTTTGTAAAGCAAATTAAACACAATTTTTTACAGCACTGATCTTAAGTAGATAGTGCTCCGCCCATGTCATGTGCCCCGGTATGGGATTCCTAATCACCTGTGGGTGTGTTTCTCAATAACTGACAGGAACATGTGTACCATCTGTCACGTTATGTTCCACATTTTAAAAAAAGAAAAAAAGAAATGTGGAATATCTCCCTTTAAACTATTGCAATACTTCAAAAAAAACGTTACGAAGACATGGCTAATGTTGCCACGTGACATCACTGAGTAAGTGAGCAATCCACTGGCACACATTGAATTTATTACCTTTACCTGCTCTTGATTATGACTTTAAAGTAAAACCAAAAGTTCAGGAGTAAGTCTACCCTGATATGTGGAAGCCAGTCTAACCTATGGTAGATATTGTAAGTGAACATACACAATGTAAAAAACAATAAAGCCACAGAAGAGGTTATATTACGACTGGTACATGTCTGATGTTACACCACTGACCCACAAAGTTGCCTAATCACCGCTGGTTTTCTGGTGCCACTTTTCACAACGCTGTAACCTGCAACCTGAGGGTGATCATATTGCTTTGGTGCTTTGCAGTTTGAGTGTTCCTCTGCCTGCCTGGCAACTGTAGCAAACAGATACCGTCTTAGGCACAACCGCACATGCTGTCGTAGCTGTCCTTTGACATTCAAGCCAGATGCCAACATTATAATGACTGTTAATGGCTGCATCTTTAATACTGTCACGCTGTCCCTGTGTAGTATCACAATGTAAATGTGATGTTCATCCAGTAGTATAAATTATAAACCTATACACGTACCAGTGCTGTAATTTGTCAAACTGTTATCAGCTGTCTGGAGTGAAATCTGGGTGGAAGTTTTATTTATAAGCCTAAGGTAGTTCCTGGAATTTTATCGTCCCTGTTTGTTTTATTTTCAAGTGTGTGCATATGAGAAATGAAAATTTTGTGCTTGACAAAAGTCAACAGAAGCCAAAGGAAGGTAACCAGAGTCAACGGAAGCCAACGTGACAATGGAAGCCATCAGAAAACAATGAGAACCAACCAAAATACAAGACAATGCGAGAGACTATAAGCCACAGGATGCAAAATAAGCCAACAGCAGCCAAATGATGCCAGTAGAAACAATGGAAGCCAGTTGGAGGCAAAGTGAATGCAAGCTGTAAGCAGGCTGCTCTGAAGTGCTGCCAGGAGGAGGAAGACGAGAAGGAGGAGGAAGAGAAAGAGGAGGAGGAGGTGGAGGCTACAGCTCAGGAATATTCTGGTCGTTTATTGCTGGCCAGGGGTCAACTCTGGCCTCGGGCTGAAGCTCGGAGAAGGAGGGAGAGATTCACATATGATGAGAATACACCAGCACACACACACACTTATTGCCAGGGGTCAGTAGTGTCCTCCCCATGCTGGCCACACACACACATGTAGAGAATGATGAAGACGCACACTGCCACACGTGGTACTTAACACAGACCCCTGTAAATCAACCTGAAATGGTGATGCTGGTAATGCCTCTCTAACCACAGCCTCCATACCTCGTCCCCGCCATTACCATAATAAATCCATCAGAGTGTGAGAAGCGCTGAAGCCGCTGGGATGGAAATGGTTTCAAACAATTGGCATGGCGCACGCGTCGCCCGTTCCCAAAGAGCTGGCACCACCACGACCTGTCCAACATACTTTACTACCGTAATTACAATATAGAGAGCAGCCGCCTCTATGGCAGATGCTGCTTCCCACGTTAGAGGTTCCCCACGTAATTACCATGATGAACTTGGCACGCCGAGGTAATAAATATCACAGAACACACACGCGCGCCAACACACACAATTGCACAGGGCAGAAAAGGACACTCATATACTGTGCATGGAGGTAGACGTGGGGAAATGAACACACACACAAATGCATAGTGGTGAGGTGAGGACAAGCCCATTCAGGAAACACAGATACACAACATACTGTTGTACAAAGTGATCCAAGACCTGTGTAAAATAAAGTATAGTGAGCAAAAGTAATGAGAAAGTACAGAGGAATCAGGCTTCTTACACATTTACCATTTCAAAATCCCTATTTTTTTAGACTTAAATTTCAGACCATATTTCACATCTGAGAACAAAAAGCCAGCACTCAGAGGCTTGCATTCACCCATTATGGTTTAGTCCACATTCCTTTGCAGAAAGTTGGACAATGTTTGACTGTCAAACATGCCTAAACTAACAAGTGCTACCTATACTGAAATTATTTCCCCTTAAAATATAAAATAAACAAGATTGTATCATTGTTCCCAACATATTTTTTAGTTAATATAAATAAAAAAAAGTTGAAAAAAATTAAATAATTTCATTTTCATGGCATTTGTGCAACCTTGTTTATTCATTGTTTCTGTGGAATCCACAATGAACACAGCTATATATAGCGAGCCTAATAGCCACATTTTCTTTTGAACTAATTTGATCACAGATGTCCACCGTCCTTGGGACAGAGCTGTGCGTTCAGGCACACGGCATACTTATTGGCTTTGAAATTTTGTCTGTGCTGACTGCCTTCTCCACTTGCCCTGAAAAACACTCTGCTTGTCTGATCAATTTATTTCTAGAAATTCTACATTCTATATTTTAGAAAACGGAATATGAGCAATTGTCTGGAAAGACAAACATTTCCGCATACATACATACACACACTGCATGAGAACCCTGAAGGAAAACCGATACCGTTATCAGTGTTTTCTTTAGTGTATCATCACCTGAAAACAATAATCAGTCAGTTTCGTTACTTTAGAATGAGCCGTTTATATCTGCACTGGGAGCGGGTCCTCGTCTACAGTGATGGTAATGTTGCACGGCCATGTTTCTACAGTAGCTCAGAGGGGACAAACGGAACAGTGGCTCTAGAAAGAGCCATTTAAGTTTTTCATGTCGGCAACTGTAGTTTGTTGCCCCTCCAATAAGAAGCTTCAGAAAATCACAGATTTTTTAACATGAAACTGCTTTATTCAGTATTTTAATGTTTGTTTTGTAGAGGAAGAGATGGCTGCAGATAATCTGGCTCACAGTAAAAACCTCTTAACACCTGGATCTTAAGTTAGAAAAAAAACGGTGAGCACACATTAGCAGGTGCTAGGCTAACGGCCTGTCTTCAACATGCCAAACGGCATCGGAGAAACACTGATTTGTAACGTGAAACAGCTTTGTTCAATGTTTTTACCAGTTTAAGTGACTAGATCCATTCGTATTCCTCTGTGGATAATTACGCTCACCTCCCGTGTGTCTGGTTTGGAAATAAGGTGTGCACGAAACTGCTTCATTCAGTGTTTTTACCACTTTAAATCACTTAGCCCGTTTGTATTGAGAGATAGGGACCTCTGTGGATAATTCGGCTCCCAGTAAAAACCTCCAAAACAATGAAGGAATTCTAATTGGTTTCAACTGGTTGCAGTCTGCATTCCTCACTACTAGATGCCGCTAAATGTTCCTACATCTTACAAACTGCTCCTTTACAAAAAATAACTTTCAAAAATTAAAAGCAGAAACCAAAATATTGCTCACTAAAAAATACATAACAGGACTCTTTAAAATATAATTGTCCCACAAAAGAGCCAATTAATTATTGCTCAAAATTAAATCATTTACTCAATAGAGCTTTTGATAAGAGACAAAAATCAAACCTTGACATCAAAGTGGTCTGACCCACAAAAGTACATTTTGTTCACGGACAAATAGCCAGCTCCCTTGGTGTGCGAGCGTGTGTCTTTACTGTTCAGTCCTGACTCTCTGTATCTAAATTTCCGAATCTATTTCCAAACAGACCCAAAAGAAACCTCGGAAAACCCATATTGTCAAAAGGCATCCACATTTTGTCATCATTAACATCCAGTATCAACACTACAGACCCATCACTCATCAATTTTTTTAGGCTTGTAATGTCAAAAACAATCACCATATGTAGCAAATGACGCACTCACTGCACAAATCAAGTGTCACTGTCTCATTTAGCTCCAATGAATAATTTTGCAATTACATTTAACATGCTAACACACAAGACAAATTAGGCCGCACTGTGTGTAACTTGCCTTGAGGGAAGCGCGGAGAGAGTAATGGCCCCCAGAATTGCAAATGAGGTGCCTCTTGACATTTTTATATCACAGTAAATCACTGTATGTATGAGCCAAGTCCGTTGTGTGTTTGCAGATTAGCAGCGTGTGTGTGTGGATGTGTTGACATGCTCCTCAACAAAGTCATCACAACAGTCACAACGCAGGCTAGGTTCTGCCTCTGGTCAGTGGTACAAATCTGTGTGTATTAAGCTGGATTTGACTCTGTCCATTTCCTGTTTAACTATAAATACAGGACATGTTGTGTACAGCTACCAGCAAGATGTGCTGGGATGTTTCCCAGATTCAGATTAAGTCCTGCACTAGAAATTACAGGCTGGGGATGTTCTTTATTGAGGCTTTACAGTTGAGGATTAATCTGTAGTCTGGCAAGTCAACCATCAAAATCCAGTTATCCAGTACAGGCAGAAAACGGAGCAAAGAAGAAGAGAACAGGGTGTAAGAAAGACGAAGAAAGTTGGAGAGTTTGACAGGAAGGCCTGTGGGGACTCACCTGGTCTTTTTTCCATTTTTCTCCCTCGACTGCCACATAGTCGAACCTTCGATATTAATATGAGGATTTGCTTTTGGCAGAGCGACTTGTTGCTCTTTGGGCAGGGCTTGCGTTTGCTGGCGATCTGCCGGTTTGCCTGGGGGTCCTTGACCTCCCTGCGCTGGCGAATGAGGGAGCTGGCGAGAGCGGCCATCTTCCCAGCGCTGACCCTGCCGCCGCCTCACCAGCCTCTGGCGGCTCGGTGGCGCCCAGGTGTCGGGGGGTACCGTGGGCCACCCCCCTGCCCGCTCACCCAGGGCGACGGAGCACCACTGAGGGAGGGGGGCAGAGTGGAGGAGGGGGCTTCTGAGGATGGGCCAAAGCAGAGGGGAGAAAGGCAGAAAAAGAGGAAGAGGTAGAGGGGAATAATGGTGGATCCCTGAAAGGCCCACCCAAAACTGAAAAACTGATGGTCGTTGAGGTTTGGACTGATGAGCCTTTAAATGTCCTTCTAGCTGTTTTCTGTTTGCAAGGAGGTTCAGGTGAAGCCTTCGTACGTCACTGTCCCTCCGTTGGGACAAGTCATGCTGTTATCCACCCAAAAACCAGTGCACTGTAGCCCAGCAATGTGCCCCGGTGCCTCTGTCCCAGTCCTAGTGTTCCCTTACCCCCCTCCTGGAGCTCCGGTGAAGTTCAACTCAGCCCCGTCCGAGAGGATTCATCCACAGAACCATTCTCCGCATGATGAAACCAGACCCAAACAAAAATCACATTTAGTCCTCTTAACCCGCTCAGTCCTGCAGATCAGAAGCAAGAGCCGTTTCAAACGTCCGAATGTCAACTCTCCAAAATAGCAGGAGTGACACCGCTCCTTTTCTTCCCGTCCCTCACCTGTAAAATTTCTCCATCCGAAACAGCGTCAGAGCAAGAGAAGTAGAAGAAGTAGACTGTCCGACCTGAGGTATCAGCTCCGCAAGCTGGGACGAGGACGACAGGGGTGCGGATGGACGCTGCCGGACGGACGGTTTCTTCACTGTCTCTCAAGCTCTCCTGGCATCACCCCTTGCATTCACCCGCACCCTGAGTGGAGAAGGGAAAAAAAGACAGGAGCTTGATGAATCCAGCATTTCCCAGAGATAGAGGTGACATTCATGAACGAGAGAGCGCCGGGATAGAGAGACACACGGGGACACAGAAAGAGAGAGGGGAGAGGGAGGGAGGGAGCGCAGTGAGTCTATCTATCCCCCCTATCGGAATCGGGCTCTCCAACTCTCTCAGCAGCGCGCTACACCACAGCAGAGCGCAGCGCTGTGTCCTTCAGCCACACATGCCGCCTCACAGCTGGGAGAACGAGGGATGAATGAATGGAGGGAGACAGAGAGGGAGGGTGGGAGAGGAGATGAGGTGAAGGGGAATAGGGGAGGGGGGGCTGGCAGGTAGCCGTGCCTTACGGTAGATGCTGTAGTGCCGCTGCTCATGCGAGAGTCTCCACCGGTGGGTGACAGCAGTCCGATCTGGTTCTGTTGAGTCCAGCTGCAAAGTGTGTGTCCATGTGTGTGTGCTAAAGAGGGGGTAAAAAGTGTGTGTCTCCCGGACAAGGCACCTCTCTGCCTAGCGCACGTGTGAGGGAGTGTGTAGGAGATATGTGTGGAGGAGCGGCACAGTGTGAAGGTGTACGAGTGTGAGGGTGTGTGACATGTACGTATGTGAATCTGTATATGTGTGTGAGAGTGTGTGTGTGTGTGTGACTCGCTCTCTTGCTTGTCCCTGTTCACAGTGCATTACCTAGCGAGCGCTGGCAGCGTGCTTCACATGATCTCTGTCTCTCCCTCCCTCACACACACTCCCTCGCTTACTCTCTCTTCTTCTCTCTCTCTCAAATCTATTTCCCTAAACCCTCCCCTTTGCTCTACTCTCTCCCTCCCTTCTCTCCTCCCCCTCTGTCACTCTGATCCCTCCTTCAGTGTCTGTGATTCAAAGTCCCTTCCTCCCCCACCTCCCCTATTCTCTTCATCACTTCTCTTGTACTGGGCTGAGCCGGGCCGGGTCAGAGCTGAGGTGCCCCCATCCTCACAACTCCACCCCTTCTACTCTTCCGTCCCACCCCACCTTCTCTGATGTGATGTTGGCTTAAAGAGACAAACTAAGGGAGGTTGTCAGTGCTGTGCTTTCAGCTATGACAAGGACGTATAGATGCTGTGACACAGCCTGAGTCAGTCGGGACCTTGCGTCTCTGCCGTCACATCATCCATACATCTGTAAATGCATCAGTCAAACACACTGTATCACATCCACGGCACATACAGTACACAGTCAAGTCCAACAGAGCAAGGGACTAGCAGTCTGATCAGACAGGTTGTAAACAAGCCAACAGTTTAGTCCAGCACTTTATTTGGAGGTCAAACCAACAGTGTTGCACCCAAATTTGGATAATAATTTCCTGTTGCACAGCAAAACTGTGTGTAGGCACAAGTACAACAAGCACAGTAGGTCAAAGTTGAACCAAGAAGTTGGTGTATGATGGGTGTTTACAAATGACAGTTTGGGTAATAATCTAAGAATTCATATTCACTTTTTTTCTTCCAAATAGGTTCACCTAAACTGGAGGGTTTGTTTAAAATCCATCCCAAATTAAACTGAATTTCTTTTGGTCTGCTTTTTTGCAGGCGAGTACCTTTTTGAGCCACACTAGTTAATCTGTTCATAGTTTGGTCCACCACCTTGGTCCAGGTTAAAATAATTACTTAATGGACTGTCACAAAATTTTGTATGGACATCCATGGTCCCCAGAGAATTCTACTTTGGTGATTCCCTGACTATACCTCCAGCACAACCATACACATTCCCATCAGCCTCAGCTGTACTTTGTCTCTAGTGCTAATTAGGGGTGTAAGAAAATATCAATACACTTGAGTATCGCATTATGTTTTGTGATACTGTATCAATGCTCAAAGGCACTGTATTGATTGTTAATTAGCCTAATAGGTTACATGCAAAGATTCATGGTAGTGGATTTTTACCATTGTGTTTAATCCCCCAGCCACTAGATGCTTCAGTGTTGTAATCTATCTTTAGTCATTTGACGCCCCCCACTCCAAAGTAACATCATATCAGTAAACACAAAGACCACAGGCCTATAAAACGGACAGAGGGTACACTGCTAGCATTGAGTTTTCCTAAAATTAGATTAGAGCTATATATCCTTGCTTATAGTATCGCAATAAATCACAATATATTGAATTGTAACCCTTGTGAAAAGAATCATATAGCCAGATTCTTGCCAATACACAGCCTTAGTGCTAATTCCCAAATGTTTGCAAACTAACCTGCTAAACTAAGACGGAGAACATGGTAAAAATTACATCTGTTTAACATCAGCATTTAGCATTGACATTGTGAGCATACTGGCCTTAACATTTGCTCACAACACCTTAGTGCCTAAGTCCAGCCTCACAGAGCAGCTAGCAGGTTGTAGAGCCTTAAAGACGTCCACACCAAGAACAATAACCTTAACAAAATACTATAACAATGTGAGCATGATTAGGTTTTGTAAGAGGTGGCACCAATCATGCGCCACACTAGCCAGGTGTGTCGGCAGCTCAGGAAATAATTGGCAGTGTTGTGAGAGTAGCATTACTCAGCCAGTACATAGTCAATCAGTACATTTACATGCACAGTTAGGTCGAGCTATAGTTATAGCTCAACTAGGCCATTTAATTGGACTAATGTCCTTGTCCCAGTATACAAGCATGGTAGGGGAATCGATTCATTGACTTAAGTATGTCCAACTCCACTGCAATAGGTGGTGATATGCTCCCTTTCTGCTTGTTCGGACCTATCGGACCTTTTTCCGGTTGACCTATTACGTCACAGTCCAAACAATCGACAAACACGTTAGGTACGGTTAGCTGGCAGCAAACTGGTAACACAGTGGACAATTTTACAGCTCATGTAACGCATTTATTGCTTTCAACTTCCGGGTCAAAGCCTGGGGCAGAAACTGTGGAGCATGCGCTGAGCACCCCGGCCAGTTTGGGTCCGACTGACTGTATATATGCAGAAGCAATGCGACTCCAAATTCCATTGTCTGGGTGTGTTGGTCCAACTATGAGAAATGCGCTTTTGTATGAATATCAACTCCAGCCCTGGTGACAAAAACAAAGTGTCTCTGCTGTGTTTGGTCAGGAAGCACACACAGGAAAAGCTAACAGCTGTCAGTGTTTCTATCTTTCATCAAATTGCTTTGAAAGTGATCCCAATAATATTGTTTACCACTCTCGTCATTAAAGTTGTAGTGAGGACTCCGCCATCCAGTTGAGTTAGAAGAGCGAATTCTAAAGCAATATAGCTGTTATGATACTTGAAAACTAGTAACCCAGAATGAGATGGACCATGACTGAGACTTTTTGTCAAACTTCATTAATGTAAATCTTCATTGCAAATCAGCACTGACAAAACCTCGGCTTCAGCATAGAACATGTCACATGACACGTCATTTTTAAAATAAGTTTTGTTATATCAAAAAGGACAACTAGTAATGCCTAAAATACTACATGTGATGACGATTATTAATCAATGTCAGGAACACTTATCTGAGGTGAGGTCGCTTCATGTTTTGGTACCATATATGCATCTCTAAAAAGCGAATAAGAAACTAAACACTACACATGCTTCTTTTACTTTGTTAGCTTGGTGTTGGTCCATATGACCCGTGTGATTTTGCTGCCATTTTGAAAAGGAATCTCCAGTGCTCTCACAAAATTATGATTTCAATAACAAGACACTATCCTGGCTAAACTAAGGCCAAAAGTAGTATTAGCATTTCATGGTTGTACGCCTCCGTGCACCAGTCAAGTTGCACTTACAGTTTATCTCCATGTCTGCGAAAATATGGATGCTTCACACACATCTTCCTCCGGGCAGCACAACAGATAAATCACCACAGTTTCAAGATGAGAGTCACCAATTCAGTATCTGACCCTTCTGTTCCTCAGATATGACGTTAAATACTGGCCAAAGAAGTGTTTCAGCAGAACATTATGATGTCATAGTGAAGTTGACCTCTGACCTTTTGGACATAAAATGTCATTTTATCCTAATAGAAATTAGTGTGAAATTTCTGTCATAATTTGTGTATGAATTCCTGAGTTATTGACAAAAATGTGTTTTGTGAGGACCTTGACCTTTGACCTTCAACCACTACATTCTAATTAGTGAATTTTTGAGTGT